TTTCCACACAGGATGAGGTTGCCAGAGATCCCATGAGAGTAGCCTGCAGCTGCACAATAAATCTGAACCAAGCCATATTCTACTTGGTCTCAAAGTCAAATAATCACCTCAGCCCCGTACTTATTTTTTCCTTCAACCAATAACTACGTACACCCCCTCCCCTAGAGAAGCTGAGCAACAGGATGTGGCAGAGAAAATGATCTGCTGTCTCCTAGAACCTGTTTTGCGGCACCTCCAAGGATGGTGCTGATAAAGCTAGCCTTGGCTTAAAATATCTGTGTTGCACTGTGCCAGAGTGGAGGCCTTCAGAACAGAGGCTGCAATATGCCATCTTTGTCAAGGTTCTTTAACAAAATCTGCAGGAAGCTGCCGCTCCACAAATAACTGCATTAGATGTCTTTCTGTTAGAACGGCACATAAAATGAAACAGACCACAGTGAAAGGTAAACCGGGGAGGTATTTATTTATGGCTCCTAGGCAGCAGTTTCTCAGAAAAGGCAATTTCTTTAGTGTGCTCTTAAAAGAAGGAATGTTTTTTTAAAAGCGGTTTTCACTTTTTAGAAAAGAGGAAGCATCTAGTCTGGTGCTTTGCAATGTGTGGCATATGCCAAGTGCCCCATTCATGTGGCTGCCTATAGATCTTCTAGGGTCATTTGTCTTCTAAGCAAATATAAACACAAATGCAGACAAATTACATGTTCACATGCACAAGATACTACTACAACTACTAATTTATATGCCTCCCATCTGACTGGGCTGCCCCAGCCATTCTGGGTGGCTTCCAACAAATTATATAACTACAGGTGGAAGGTAACAGCCTACCCCATATGGCACAGATGGAGAACCTGTGGCCCTCCAGCTGTTGTTGGACTACAACTCACATCCTCACTGGCTTTGCTGGCTGGCTGGGGTGGATGGGAGTTGGTGTCTAGCAACATCTGGGGAGGCCATGGGTTTCCCATCCTTGTAATAGGGACTAGCCCACATTTCCTTATGGAGAGTGGTTATGAGAGATTCATGCTCAAGACCACAGATATTTATGGCTAGACAAGGCCTGCAGTGCTGGGACAGATTTTCCACAGGTCCAAGAACTTGGGGGGCTTATTCATTTATTTACATCCCAGTGCAGGACTCATGGAGGCTTGCAACATGAATGAAAAGCAGATACAATTTTTAAAAACCCACACCAATTAGTTATATTTGTTAAACAAACAAGCAAACCGATAAGTTACCATCTCTAAAACAGCACTGAATCAAAACACCGAAACATTTAAAAGCATAGCAAGAGGAAAATAATAATAACAACAACCCCACCAGTAAAATAGCCTGCCACAACCAGTTAGAGGCCAAAGGTCTGTCTACAGAAAGTTATTTGCCTGCTGGTAAAGGGAAAGCGGGGGGGGGGCAGCCTAGCCTCCTGTGAGAAGGAGCTCCACAATCTGGGAGCAGGCACCAAGAAGGCCCTCCATAGCTTTCATTGGAGCTTAAATGGAATGAAGCTAAGCTGTTTCAAAAACTCAGATCCATCTCTTTTGAGTGGCAGGTGCAAAGATCCACCTGCTAAAAGAAAACATTTTCTTCATAGGTGATGTGCAGAAGAACCAAAGTAAGTCCCTTCTTGAGACCTCTCTGCCAGGTGCCTGTGCTTTCAACTCTGCCACCATGCAGTTGCATTAATGCATGTGCAGAATGGAAAAGATCAGACCCACATTGCACACGCAGAGAGAGCCTTATCCATCCTGCAGGCAGCCCTGTGGCGACTGTGCTTTGTCTGTCTCCCGATAAGCGGGGACCTGAAGTTTAAAGGACAGACTTGAAAGGAGCTGCTGCTGTTTATGTATATGAAGGCTAAAGGGAAAAAAGAAAACTGCCTCCGACTCAGATATTTTCTCTCTCTTTGTTGCCCAGCCAGGGCTTCCTGCTCAAGATCCCCCATTCCCACCCCACTGTCTCTGCGTGGCTGGTAAATACTTGTTTGAACTTGTTTGAGCAGCCTTTTGGGTGGGAGAAAATGCCGGCAACAAAAGGAATGTCATTTACCCCATGGGAAAAAGAGAGAGAAAGACCCGTCTAGGACATGGGCAAAATCAATGTAAAATAAGAACAATGTTTACCTACAATCTAAAAGTAGCATGCTACAAAACAAAGGCACCGTGATTTCTATTCCAAACCCCCATGTACGTTAAGAGCGTGCGCACACATGAATATTCTGTATGAAGCAAAGCCATACCTGTTCTGCTCATATACAAGAGCTCCAAAATAAATGGAGGAAAATTAAATCCTAAGTACCCTGCACTTGCACAGGCGTAATTAGTGCTGCCAAGCTAGTGCCTTTTACCTGGGCTAATCGTAACTGATTCAATCATGCTTAACTTGGTGTGTGGCTAAATTGACGCTTGCAGCTTTCACTTAAATGTAGTCTGTCGCCGTGTGCCACATTTATCTTCCTGTCCTTCTGGCTCTGCTCCTTGAGAGTTATTTGTTTTTCCTTTTCCATTTCTCTCTCTACTCCCTCCCCCTTACAGAAGATGAGAGCCCTACCTAAAGCTGTCTGTGAATAAGGGCTAAATTTACAATTGCAACTTCAGTGGGGAGGGCGGAAGAACCCTGCCCCATTTATCTGTATCTAAGGTTATAATCTATCTATCTATCTAACCCCCTCTGCCTCTCCTCTCCAAAGATATACAAAGGGAGGGAGGGGGAGGAAGCTGATGAGAGCCGCAGCTTGGATGCCTCTGCCTGTGTTATTGTATCCATTTTCCAATGGCAACGATGTGTGAAATGAAAATTGGACAGAGCTGGCTGCTCACAGACCTGGAATTTCATACAGACTAGTTGAGGGAAGGAGGGAGCAGAGACACAGAGAAGATATTGGAGATGGGAGGGAACGGGAGAGTCTGCTGGATGGCTCCATGCACCCATGGTCTGGGTAAATCCCGCTCCAGTTTAATAGACCCTCGTAGTGGCAGTGCTGAACATACTGTGCTCATTTACATTTCATTACTCAGAACGCTCTGTTAGTTTCTGGTAGCTGAGACAATTTACAGGGGCAGAAAGGTTGAAGACAAACTTGAAGGCACTCAGGAGTTATCCCCTCCCCACCCGCAATGCCTTTTGCTAAGCAGAACGCTGAGGCTCTCTGCCACCTCCTGCAAGCACGCATCTAAAGGCCACCAAATGGGATTCTGTGTTCGTATCTGGTCTCCACCATTTAACCAACAAGTATGGGATAATCTGCCACCCAGATCCGATATGGTCTGGCCCTTTTCTGAGACAGCTGCTCCAAAGGCCTGTTCAGATGCTCCTTTATTTGCACAATGAATAAATGCACACTTGATGCTCCCTTGTTGAAGGGGATGTAGATGCATTCACTCCAGGTGGCACTTTTATGGTGAGGAAGATGTTGCACTTTTCCAGCACTTAACGTTGTTGCCGGGAAATGGAATGTGTGGGTTGGGGGAATTACGTTGCCTCAAATAGCTGTCTGCAACACGCAAGCAATCACTTTTAACACAGTAATTGCACAGGCAATAACAGCACTAGCTTAGGGTGGGCGCATTACTTTTTGTGTGTGTGTGGCTTTCCCCCCTCCGTTCTTTGCTGTTTTGGCATTTCACAAATCAGAGTCCTCATCTGCATCTCTGCCACGAGGTGCTGTGTGTTTCCGCCTTCCCTCCCTTCAAGCACTTCCAGCATTTCCAGTTCTTTACAGCATTTCCCCTCAGCTCTGCTTACGCGTTTTTGCCCAGTGAGAAGAAGATGTCCTTCCATGACAAAGCCTTCTCTCCACTGTGAGTCTATTGGTTCTCCCAGGAGCTTGCATTCCAATATCACAACTATGGATGAATACTATGCTATTCAGCCCTACCATTAGGCAGAGGGAGAAGGCTGCCTTTGCTGGGGAGCATCAGTGTCAGCTTTCTGAGCCATTCCTCCAGAGCTGGTACCTGAGGGTGGGGTGGGGATTCTTGGTTTTCGCAGGAATGGCTGCTTGCCTGTCTTGATCTGCAGGCCCAAAGGAGGGCCTGTGCAACTAGTCTGATGCAGGGATACTAAATAAACATGTCAAAAGTGCCAGTTCTAGCGCTTTATTAAAGAAATGTGTAAACTTACCTGCAGTGCCCTGCTGCCCTTATAGGCTCAGGATGGATGCCGAAGCAGCAAGCAGTTCTCATGACTTTCCCACACGCACGAAAGCATTTAAGCATTACTTATACATAAAGCAAGCTATGAAAGCTGGCATCAATAGCCCTTTCCAACTCCCACCCATCTCCCAGAAAAGGGAGTAGCTGACAGTCAGCCAGTATGCGAAGCCGCCCCTCACCTATGCATCCCAAACCCGCAGATAAATATACCATCAAAGCAATCAGCATATATCAAAGCAATATATCAAAGCATGTGCAGCTATTCTTGCAGCAACAAACAATTAGTCTCAGGGTTATCTTGACTACCAAGATGGCGTTTACAGGCCTTACAAAACTTTTCCATCATTTGGTTCTACACACTGCCACCTTTTCCCATAGATGGTCCCTTGGACCAAGTGAGCAGGCTGAGAGAATTCTAGCCTGGACCGTGCAATTCAGCAGGTATCATGTGTGCGTGTGCATCCACTGCTCTGCTGACACGAGTCGTGGTGGCTCAGCTGTTCCACTTTGGTTAAGGCTTAACACTGAATACAGTTTGCTAGAGTGAAGCACTTTTAAAGATCAGCTAGCACCAGAGTAAGAGGTGAAAGAACAGGTGCAACTGTAATTTGAAAAACATGCATGGGTGTAGTCAACTAAGATTTACTCAGAGTAAACCCTTTACAATTAATGGACCTAAATTAGTTATGATCATAAATTTTAATGGGACTATGGTGAGTAAAAGTTAGTTGAATGTGCTTAGGTGTGCTTAACTCTACATTTTAAATGATAGGCCCCCTGTTATCAACTCTGAGACTATTGTTCCTGTGGTATGCAACCCAGGATCCACCTACTTCAGTGCAACTCTTCACTTACCATGGTCTTCGTCGGACATCGTACAGGTCAATCTTATTGGGCATCCTCCAAGGAGTGGCTTCAATTGGAAGAGACAATTAGAAGTAACATTAGAAGTAGCACAGCTGATGCCTATACAGGGAAATACAAACAGTGGGGAAGGAAGGCAGCAAAGGGTACATGTGGAAGCCCACCTGCTACAAGTCAATGGCAACAGAGATGATTATGCAAAAAGTGTCATCTGTGGCTAATTTAGGCTGATGCAGGTGGTTTCTCTGCATAGGGCACCCAGCTGAGGGGACACAAAATTGAGAAGATCCATAACCGAGAAGATCCATTTAGGGGAGCCAAAATTTGGCCTTGCACAGGGTGCCATATTATCAGCGGTGGAGGAAGCTGCTTGGGCGCCTTTGGCGGCGTGCCCAGGCGCAGTGCCAGCCTCCCATAGGGGCAGGGTGCACTGCAGGGCCTCCGGAGTCTGCCTGCCTCTTCCCACTCAGCTGCCCTGCAGCTGGGGGGGGGGGCGGGAGGCAGCGGGTGGACCATTTGGGCAGTGGGGAGCCTGTGCGCGCCCAAGCCACCATGTCTCTCCTAGGACAAAATGCCTGGCATTTTGTCACTCCCCTCAGTGGTGACACCTGAGGCTGCCTGCAACCCCGCACTCCCCTTCCTCCGCCCCTGCATATTATGAAAGATTACCAAAGTCTGCCCCTGGTGTTATCTGGCAACAGGAAACAATACTACAGGCCAGTGAAGATGAATTCATATGGACGCTATTGAGGGGAGGGGTACATGGAGTTCTAGGGGCAGAGGACTGTGGTCCACAAATCACACTAAACACATCTAGCCATTGGCCCATATTGTGAAATCCTGGATGGAATAGGAAGACAGGAAAGGAAGGGATGTGTAGCTATCACTATCCTCCATCCTAAGCAGCTCCTGTTAGTACTGAACCCAATAGTGAAATCCAAACAGGACTAATATTCAAGGACAAAGACACAATGGGAAAAGCTGTCCCCCGCCACTTCCTCTACTCCAACTACACCAGACACAGTACATGTATAATTGTGGTGTCATTGCTCAGGCCCATATCAGTAGGTTTCCCCCTCTTTCACTTTAGAATGGCACAAACCTGGGTAGAAGCGAGTCACGCCTGTGGCACTCCCAAAGACTTGCCATAGCAGAGATGGATCTTCTTTTCGGTTTTCAACGAATACATCCTCCAAGGCGTCAGTCCAGTTGAGTTCGTTAAGGATTACTGTGGCTGCAAGAAACAAAAAGAAAACAAGATCAGTGTGCCTAGAATTTGGACACCAAAGGGCAGATTCTCTGTAATTTAGAAAGAAAACACACATAAGATGCTTCCACAAAGCTATATGGCCACAGAGGTGCGGAACTTCTTTCTACACAGCCCAATTGATGGAGTTGTTGAGATGCTAATAATTTGCTGAGTTGTTGATAATTCCAGTTGAAGAATTATGATTGACAGTGCTCATTATCCCCGATTGTTGGGCTAACTGTCAACAGTCCTTTCACAAGAAGCAGCTGCACAGGAATTGTATCAAGTGTATTCATGACCACACCTTGCCATTACTACCAGTGCTACAACTGCACTAGTAGGAAGACCAGCCATGTTAATAACTTCATGAGTAACACCTATGAATGTGTCTACACCACTAAACACCATCAAATGTATTTATCTGTAGTACTGGGAACTAGCTGATAGTTGGGTGTTGGTTTTAATGCGTTACAGGTGGTGTAAATCATGGGTAGTCAAACTAAGGCCTGGGGGCTGGATCCAGCCCAATCGCCTTCTAAATCCAGCCCGTGGATGGTCCAGGAACCAGCGTGTTTTTACATGAGTAGAATGTGTCCTTTTATTTAAAATGCATCTCTGGGTTATTTGTGGGGCATAGGAATTCATTCATTCTCCCCCCTTCAAAATATAGTCTGGCCCCCCCACAAGGTCTGAGGGACAGTGGACCGCCCCCCTGCTGAAAAAGTTTGCTGACCCCTGGTGTAAATCATGACATTATCTGTCCCATCAGATTCAATAAATAGCACAGAAAAATCCCCAAATAGGACTAGAATAAGACTAAATTGATAACATTTTCTCATTTCTTCCTCAAAAATGGAGACAAACCCAGTCCCAGTAGTGTTTACACTTAGATCAGTGGCAGAGGGTTTTTTTTTGGCCGCCTTTTGTAGCATGTGATACACAGAGATAAGCAAACGGAATGATGAACTTATGCCACTCACACCAGTTATTAGGAATATGAACTCAATTGTACTATTGAGACTGAAGATTAGCTTTGGGTTGTCTCTTAGCACCTTGCAGATATGCAGACTGCCATACCCTGCTCATGTGAAGCCACTCCACAAATCCACAAGTAAAACACCCACCCACCCCCTGACTGCATGGAAATTATATTCCAGGCATGAAGAATATCAAAGCCTTCTGAAGAATAAGAGTCAGCGCACCATGAAGTGCATTTGTCCCTCTGGCCACCCACAGCAGATGGGAAATAAATTGTCTGCATCCCCTTTAGGAACCACAGCCCAGTTTCTCCCCTCTAAGTCAGTTCCAAAGAGACATTGAATGAAGTGGGGGGGGGGAGAAAGACCCTACTGGGGTTGGTCCCATTCTGCATTCATGGTGGCCCTCGTGTCTAATGCAAAAGCAATTAAGACGCCAGCAAACAGAGGTTTTAAATTATTCAGCTATTAAGGAAAGTGATAAGCTCAGAGCAGCCTGACTCTGTGATTAATCAGCTGGGGCCAGGATTTAAGGAATGTGCAAAAGAACAGGCACTTGGTTACTTGTCGCTGCCAGCCTGCTCTTTCTTTCATTTTTTTAAAAACCTCTCTCCCCTCCAACATGCCTCTATTAACAGCACTCAAGGGGAGAAAATCAAGTGGAGAATTTCCTAGAGAGCTGCAGTCAGAGCTGAGGTGGGGGGAGTAGTTCTTTGAGCACAGGTTGGCAAGATGAAAAAGAGGTGTGAGCCCCACCAGTCATCATCATTCTAGTCATCCTCTCATATTCATTCTTCGAAGATCACACATTCTTCTGCAGCAGAGGATTTCAGAGCTTTCTATGAACAATCAGGAAACACACCTGAGGGCAGCTGAGTTTGTGGCATCTCACAGCCAAGAAATCGGGGCATACAGGCAGGCTCTGAGAAGGGCTCAAACTATCACAGAAAAGCACCCCAGCATGCATTAGCAATTGCTAGAGTCATGGTCAAGGTGATAGATGCAAGACTTAGGCTATGACTTTGTCAGTTCACACTTATAGCTCTTTTTTCCAACTAGACTTTTGGAAAGGTTCAAAGCACAGGTAAAATAACTCCTTTCTTGCTTCCTGATGCAGTTCCTGTGGGGGAATACTGGAGTTTATTGGGTGTGAGCTCTGGCCTGATTTCCTAGATGTACTCATGTACATCCAGCCGCTGTATCCATTATTATGCACATGCATTTCTGGGGCTGTAAAGGCATTCCCTCTGCATGCACCTTTGAGATCACGCTCCCTAAAGAAGGGGAAATGGCTTTGACCTTCTCTCTTCAGTGCTTGGAGGATGACTCAGAAGGGATTTCATAAAGCTAACAACCATGCCAGAATGTTAAAATAAAACGTAAGAGATACTCCTTTCACTAGCTAGTGTCAAAGAGTTTATCTACGGAGCTGTAGTGTGGTGACACCTGAACATGGGCGAGCGTGCCACACCGTCCAGCTCTGAAGAGGGCTTTCAGCAATGGCTTAAGAACAGCCTTCTAAACAGTGGCAAAAACCACAAACAACACACTGCTGGAGAAATGGAATGAGATGAGTGGGAAACTAAGCATTTTTATTTGTATGCAAAGGCAGGCTAAATGGTTATTTCAGGTGTTCTCTAATGCAGCCACTACTTAAGTAACATGCTGCTATTTCTGAGGTCAATGGAAAAGAAGACAGCACACTTCAAAATGTAGAGCAACTGCCAGCATGGTGGATCAGAGTGTAAAGCCAAGATCAAACGTAGCTAGTTACAACTTGCCAATGTTGTTGCTCAGCTCACTCTGCTCAGCTTCTACTTCAAAGGTGAACTACCGGCTTCATGCCCATCTTTTACTGGTTAAAAAGAAAAAAGGTAAAGGATCCCTGGACGGTTAAGTCTGGTCAAAGGCAACTATGGGGTTGTGACACTCATCTCGCTTCAGGCCGAGGGAGCCGCTGTTTGTCCAACAGACAGCTTTCTGGGTCATGTGGCCAGCATGACTAAACCGTTTCTGGCACAACGGAACACCATAACGGAAACTGGAGTGCACGGAAACGCCATTTACCTTCCTACCACAGCGGTACCTATTTATCTACTTGCACTGGCATGCTTTCAAACTGCTAGGTTGGCAGAAGCTGGGACAGAGCAACGGGAGCTCACCCCTTCGTGCGGATTCGAACCACCGGCCTTCCGATTGGCAAGCTCAAGAGGTTCAGTGGTTTAGACCACAGCTAACTGCCAACAACATGTGTATCATCTCCTGCCTTTTGACTCCTTCCTTGTGCAAAGCAGTATGGCTAATTTTCATTCTACAATTCCATTCTGAAGCAGTGCTATGAACAAGGGGGGGGGCATATGTGTGGAGAATTCTGATAGGTTGAGGACCATTTGGTATTTTCACATTTATTGCTAGAATAGTTTTAGACTACTCTCAGTTTGTTGTTTTGCAATCTCCTGCTCTCCTTCCTTTTATGCCCTTAAAGGTTCCAAGGCTGTGTTTATCTCCCAAGCTTGAGCCTGGAATCCTGCTAGAGAAAAGTGGTATGGGGAGTCTTAGGATAAATGTTGCACATGGCCAGGACTTTGTAGTTGCAAATCACTCCTTGATGAGAATGCTTTCAAAGCAGAGAAGCATCCCTCAGGCTAGTGCTACATGTGGCTGTGTTTTAATGTGTAGGTTATATGTGTACTTAATTTATATCTATATAATCAGGAAAACTTTACTGAAAAATTAGGGGAGATCATAATTTGTTTCTTACAAATGACATCTCAACTGAAACATGAAAATGCAGCAATTAGAAACTATGTCGTAACTGATCGCTTGGGATTCAGAGAATTTTATGTTATCTGAAATATTTTTAGCCCATTCTTCATTGCAAAAAGCAGTTCTTGAATGGGTTACAAAAACATACACCCCCCCAAGTGTGGGACTGCGTTATTTTTCCATGTCCATTTTAAATATGCAAGAGGAGCAAGTGTGGAAGGTTTGACAAAAGTAAACAAGGTTGCCCCCTTCTAGCTAAGAGTCTTCTACCAATAGGTCTATTCCCCCCACCCCACTCCTTACACGCTGCAAGTTATATAACTTGTCTTCCTTCCCTTAATGTCACGTACCATCCTCCAGTCAATGTAAAAACCCCTTACTTGTCCGACACATGGTATGTGGAAGATCTGACGAGACGCTGCCTGCAGCACTGCAGCAACTGCTGCCATCTTGCGCCCCGGCCCCACAATGCTCAAAAATGCAGAACTGCATATCCCCCCCTTTTAATGCAGAACTGCATATCCCCCCATTTTAATCCAACAACTACAGTCTTGGTTGACACATCAGATGCTAGACTGATGCTATACGACTGCACATAGTTTTGAGCCATGAACCTAGGAGTGATATTAGACGTTCTTTGCTTGTGTATCAGGCACACATAGAGGCAATCTATTGGCTACATCTTTTCCATTTATGGTGGAAATTTCCCTCCAGTGTCTAAATGCCTCCCAGAAAACCTTTTCCCTCCCAAATTTCAAAACAATAATTGAAACAGTAATTCTCTATGGGGAGCTGGCTTCAGCTACCAGGCCCATTATAAAGATGTTGGCAAATGTGACATGAAGGCTGGCAACATCAATCCCACCATGTGGGAATTCCTTGCAGATGACTGCAGTGCCTGAAGACAGACAGTCAGGTTGTGTATCCATAGCAATAGCCAGAGGAGAAATGACTGCTCGGAGGAATGCAGAGAGAAGAAACACCATGGTGTATCTGCAGTAGCACAACCAGACGCCTTCATCTGCCCCAGCTGCAACAAAACATGTCTCTCCCTTATCGGTCTCTACAGCCACCGTAGAGGCACTGTAACTCTCCCATGATCTGACTTCACCCCCAAAGGTACACTGCTCCATTGTCTCCTGAGACATATATATGCCAACCATTTAGATGTACCTTTGATTTTTGTCTGATTCCCAGAGTTTGTTTATAATGCTTTTTTTTTTTACTGAATTAGTTATTCCT